CCGCGGCCCTGCCTGCCCGTAGCACACGCGTCCGCGCTCGCGCTGCGCTGCACACCTTGGGCCCTTTTGTCATCTTTGGCCGCAGCATCCTCCCCTCGCGCAGTCTTGCACGCGTTTAAAATTAAAGCAACTGCCTCGCACTGTTCTCAAGCACGTCTCATCGTTTCTTCTTCTCCTCCTCCTCCTCCTCCTCCTCCTCCTCCTGCTCCTTCTCCTATTGTCAATCCTCCTCCTCATCCGTCTCGGGCTCCGTCTCTGCCTCTTCTTCCTTCCCTGTCCTCATCTTCCACCCCTTCCTCGTCGCCCGATCTGAGCATTTCTCCACCATTTTCTTCTGCCTGATTGCTGCACATCATCTCACCCGCCTCGTCCATCCTTCTGCGTGTCGTCGCTTGGCCACTCGCTCGTTTATGTGTACCCAGGGTGCCGAAACACAGGCAACAGAGATCCGATCTCTCGGCTCTCTGTTGTCTACATTTGATGTCCGACAGATTCGGACCTGCCCAATCCGTGCTCCGTACTCCTACATCTACCGAATCATCGTCCTGCTCGCAGTGCTGCTGCGACTATCGACATACTTATACACATTATACTAGACATGTGCATTCATATTTACACACATACATACATGCATACATACATGCATACATGCATGTATACATACATACACACATGCATACACAGATGTGTATGTAGATGCATGGATGCACACAATCGTTCTCATTGAATGGATCCTGGTTTGTTTTAGCTCTCTGTTCTGTGTGTGCTCATGTTTGTTGTCTCTCTCTCTCTTGTTCTATAGCTCTCCTATCCCTGTACATATACATACGTATATATAGAGAGAGACACACACATCTGTATACATAAATGTCTATATTTCTCTCACTCTCTCTCCCGCACGCTCGCTTCCTCCCTATCGCTGCACTGTCTGCATGTCCGGAAAGTGCCTGTAGCGACAGGGTGCGGCGAGGCGCGTGCGGACAGAGCCCACACCCGTCCCCAACATATCCGCCACCGCGCCGTCGCGCTGCTCATGTCTGGCGCCCTCTGTGTGAGCTCTCGCGCTGCCCCCCTGGGCAGCGAGGCTACGCAGCATGCGCCCGCCCGTCGCCCCGAACCCTGGGAGCCCCGGGCCTGTCGGAGGACAACGTGACGCCAGATGCGAGGCTCGTGGCTGGGGTCCTGTGGTAGACCTCCCGCCTCCCCCCTCCAGCTGGCCCCGCCCCTCCTGCCCCCTCCCAAGGAGGACTTGGAGGAGGGCAAGCCAGGTGCGCTCGCGTCGTATCTGGCCTCCTACCCCCCCTCCCATCCCTTACCATGGCGGAAATCTCCCCTCTCGCTTCGCACAATCGGATGTCGCAGCATAGCAAATATTTACATGGCACAGCATGGTGTGGCAGATCAGCGCGTCGCATGACATAGCATGACAGGGGGGGGCCTTCTGCGCCCCCCCCAAAAAAACGAATCGACACCGAATGCGGAATCACTTCCGATGTTTTTGTTTCGGGGGGCCATGTTCTAGATTTTGGGGCCGATTTGGAAGGACCGAGGACCATGCCGTGGCATGGCGCTGGAAATAATGACTAACAGGGGATACGTCGACCCCTATCCCAGGCTTCGTGAGGTTTTCGAATGGACCAACAAACATTGGGGCCCAACCCTGGGATATACAAGGGGGGGCGTCCATCCTCGATAGGGGTGCGTCCGAATAGCCCCCCTGGGGGTGTATCCCATGGTTTCCCTCCTTTCTGAGCCGCTCCATTTCTCGTCGGAAAGTCCGGGGTTGGTATATAAACATCGCCTGCGAATGACGCCAACGATGCAGCGGGAGCACAATTCGGAACGAGTGGAAGCGTGGAAATGAGGCCAGCGCTGCAGCGGGAGCACGATTCGGAATGAGCGGTAGCCCGAAAATGAGGCCAGAGCTTCAGCGAGACCAGCATTTTGAAACAGAAACCCAAGCGAAAACCCAACTCCGGGGAATCCGGTGTAAAAAAACCAGGGCGCGGAGAGGGGCCGAGCAATCCTCGGACGCCACCATGGGGAAACAGAGGAGAGTAGTAATCATATTGTGTATTTGTGGAGGAGGGGGAGGGGGAGGGGGAGGGGGAGGAGAAGCAGGAGGAGGAGGAGGAGGAGGAGGAAAGAGGAGGAGTTGCCCCCCCCCCCCCGTGCGCGATGGCAGGCACGCGCGGCAGCGCCACCGCACAGACAGCAGGCGTCCGCCCGCACATGCGCCACTGGCGGTGGCCGGCGCCGGCGCGTGGCGCCAGCCTCTCGGCGTGCACGGCGGCGCCACCGCGGCGCCCCCGCGGGCTGCGAATCCGCCAGGCGCGCCCCCCCCCCCCTCCCCGCCGCCCTCCCTTTCGCCCCCTCGCGCTGCTTCTCCTCGTTCTCCTCGTCCTCGCCGCTCCATTTCTCTCTCCTTCCTCCTCATCCTCGTGCATCCCGCCTCCTCCTCCTCCTCCTCCTCCTCCTCCTCCTCCTCCTCCTCCTCCTCCTCCTCCTCCTCCTCCTCTCCCTCCTCCCCCTCTTTCTGCTGACCCTCCAGGCCCTTTTCCGCCTCCACTTCCGGCTCCCATCGTCCTCCTCGCTATCGTTCTTTGTTCTTCCTCCTCCTCCGCCCTCATCGGATCTTCTCGATGGGCTCAACTTCGTCCCCTTCATCGCTGGTCCCAGCAGCGACAAAACGCCTGGAACGTCCTCCCATCCTGGCAGCACGCACCGATCACTGCGGAGGTGATGTTTCCTGAGGGGCTCCGCGCTGGTGGCGGCCTAGATGAGCTGGCTGACACTCGGTCAATGCCCGCGTGCGGGCATGGAAGATCGAGGGAGCGAGGAGTCGGGATGCGGGGAGGGAAGGGGGAGGGCCTGGGCCGGGGGCGTCGAGGCAGAGGGGAAGGGGTGGAGGAGACAGAGAAAGAGGTGGATGGGAAGGGGTGGAAGAGAAAAGGAGAGAGAAAAAGAGAGAGAGAGAGAGAGAGAGACGGGGAGGGACGGATAGGAGGCGCGCCGGAGTGAGACGGGGGGCGAGGAGGGGGGCGTGATGGGACGGAGAAGGGGGAGGACAGCGGGAGAAGGATGGTGGTGGGCAGGAGGGGAGGCGAAGAGGGGGGAGGGCAAGCTATGTGTTCTCGCGTCATATCTGACATCCTACCCCTCTCTACTCGCACAGTCGGATGTCGAGCAGGGCAATGAACCCGAAAGGGTACGCGATGCATTGTAGAGCACGGCGTGGCATGGCGTAGAAGAGCACCGCAAAGCGTAGTATGTCACAGCATGGCGTGGCGTGGCGTAGTGAAGAATTTGCATCACAAAGCTTTGCAACGCAAAGCATGGCATGGCACAGCGGCCCCGAACATAACATTGCATAGCATGGCGTTGAAGATCAAAGCGTTGCATGGCATAGCACGACGTGGCACTGAAACACTGCATATCACAGCTTCAGCTGAAGGCATGGCATCGCGCAGCGGAACGCAACCTAGCATTGCATTGCATGCCGTGGCATGGCACGGGAAATGACGCCAGCGCTGCAGCGGGAGCACGATTCGGAACGAGCGGAAGCGCGGAAATGAGGTCAACGCTGCAGCGGGAGCACGATTCGGAACGAGCGGAAGCACGGAAATGAGGTCAGCGCTGCAGCGGGAGCAAGATTCGGAACGAGCGGAAGCACGGAAAGGAGGCCAGCGCTGCAGCGAGAGCAGCATTTTGAAAAAAATGCAGGCGAAAACCCAACTCCGGGGAATCCGGTGTAAAAAACAATACGCGGGGGGGGGGGGGGGGGGGGGAGACCCTCCCAACCCGTCATCAGAAGGGAGGAACTGCGGGGCGAGCCGCCGCGGACACGCAGGGGGGCGCCCCCCCTGGTGGAGGTGGTCGGCGGCGGCCGCGGAGGAGGGGTCCAGGCTGTATTGCTCGAGGCTGTGTTGCCATCGCCGTCTCCGCTGGGGGGGCGCTGGTCCGCCGACCCCGGCTGCGTTGGATCGTATAGGCCCTTCGGCTCCGTGGCGCTCGCGGTGGGGCGGTCACGGCCCCGAGGGGCCTCTCACCACAGGCCCAGTCCAGCGAGGATCCCTCGTGGCATGCGCCTCCGCCCGTGGGCCCCGCCCGGGAGGCGGGGGGGGAGCCTCGCGCCGAGCCCCCCGCCCGTCCTGCGGGGGCTCGCCACGCCCCCAAGTCAGGCTGGAGCTGCTCGGGCCGGGCCGCGGGGCCGCCGGTGAGGGCGCCTCACGCATCGCGACGGGTCGGGCCGAAGTGCGCCGAAGTGCCCGGGTCTGGGCGCCCTGGGGCGGGCGGGGGCACGCCGACGCCTTCGCCGCCAGCGGGGGGGCGCAGGTGAGCGGGGCCGGGCTCGCTCCCCGCGCCCGGCCGGGGGAGCCCGTATGGGCCTGCCGAGTGGAGGGAGGGGCCCCAGACATTCTGCGGCTCGGTTTTCTCGAGGCACCGGCCCACGACCTCCCGACCACTTCCCCGGGACCGGTGTTCCATGCCGATCGTCGTTTTTGGACGGTCCCGAAGCCCAGCGAGGGCCCCGATAGGCCAAAAACTGCGAAAAAACCTGCGTCTCGACTTTTTGTCGAGCTGCCCGACGTCTGGGTCTGCAGGCTCTGGGAGAGAGCCTCCTCTGCGCCGTCCACAGCCCGCGTGGGCCACAGCAGCCGGCGGAGCTCACGCGCCACCTCGGGGCTATCGCGCTGCCGCTCGGGGGGTGCTGCGCGCCCCCCCCCACCCCCAGCTTGGCCAGACGGAGCGCGCGGCCCTCCTCCCAGGAGGGTTTGCAACCACCGAGATGGACCTCTGCGTTGTCCGCACGGTCGGTCGACGACACTGGCGGTCACGGTGGACCGCTCGATCTCAAACATCTTCCACCTCATCATACGTAACTGCTTCGTCCATCGCTTCCTCCTCCTCCTCCTCCTCATCTCTCCCCTCCTCCTCCTCCTCCTCCTCCTCCTCCTCCTCCTCCTCCTGCTTTTCCTCCTCCTCCTCCTCCACCAACTCTCCCTCTGTCCTCTTCGACTGTGCCCTCAAGCCGGATAATTGAAACCATGCTCTGCTCTAACGGCCAGTCGGCTTCAAGATTCAACGTGCTGCCGCGTAGTCGCCGAACGCCTGGTGCCCGAAATTGACCCGGGTGAGCAGCCTCCCCAACCCGACGGCGCAAGCTGGGTACAGCGGGAGAATTGTGTAATAAAGAGAGAAACAGAGAGGGAGAGAGAGAGAGAGACAGACAGAGACTGGATGAGCGAGAGAGAGAGAGAGAGGGAGAGAGAGAGAGAGCTAACACAGAAAATGTGTGAGAGAGAGAGAGACCCATGCACAACCTCTCTAGACGCACATGCATGTATACAGTCATGGGAAGAAGTACTCGTATTAACCTTGTGTTTGCCAGAATAGACCCTGCACGCTCGTGTATCGCACTGTTGATCACCAACAGTACTTTACACATCAATGGTGTGTGTAAAGTAAGAGGATATGGTGCAAGTTACTTGTTGCAATACATGCGGCGAAACTATGTCGTGTGTGTGGTGTAAGCTATGTGGGGTATGGGGTAGGCTGTGCGGTGCAAGATGGAGCAAACTGCGGACTGTGAGCTACGAAGTGCTAGCTGCGACGTGCAAGCCATGTGGTGCACACCTTGTGGTGCAAGCTCTGAGGTGTACGCTATGTGGTGCAAGCGATGTGGTGGCGCAAGCTATGTGGTAAACGCTACGTGGCGCAGGCCCTGCGGCCGCCAGGCGCCCACGGGGCGCCCACCCGGGCGCCCACGGGCGGACTTCCAGGAGACACCTCGGCCGACCAACCCGGCGCACGAGGCCCTTGCGAGGTGCCCCCGTGAGAGCTCAGGGTGAGGGGCACCAGGCGACACCTGGGCTGAGACCCGCCCGGCGCAAGGACGGCGCCCTTTTTCCCACCCCTCCTTGGTTGGGCATTCGTTTTGAACGGAGCAGTGTGGTCTCCACTCCTGCCTTCCTTCCTCCTCCCTCCCTCCCTGCCTCTTCCTGCCTTGCCTGCGGGGGGCTGCGATCTGTGAAGCTGTCGCCATTTTCGAGGCCTGCTGGGGGGCCCAGCACAGTGAGGGCGACGCGCAGATTCAAATTAGACCTCGCCACCCCTGGGGGGGGGTGCGATTTGTGAAACTGCCGCCATTTTCGAGGCCTGCTGGGGGGCCCAGCGCAGTGAGGGCGACGCGCAGATTCAAATTAGACTTCGCCATCCCTGGGGGAGCTGCGATCTGTGAAACTGTCGCCATTTTCGAGGCCTGCTGGGGGGCTCAGCACAGTGAGGGCGACGCGCAGATTCAAACTAGACCTCGCCAGCCCTGGGGGGGCTGCGATCTGTGAAACTGTCGCCGTTTTCGAGGCCTGCTGGGGGGCTCAGCACAGTGAGGGCGACGCGCGGATTCAAATTAGACCTCGCCATCCCTGGGGGGGGGTGCGATCTGTGAAACTGTCGCCATTTTCGACGCCTGCTGGGGGGCCCAGCGCAGTGGGGGCGACGCGCAAATTCAAATTAGACCTCGCCACCCCTGGGGGAGCTGCGATCTGTGAAACTGTCGCCGTTTTCGAGGCCTGCTGGGGGGCTCAGCACAGTGAGGGCGACGCGCAGATTCAAATTAGACCTCGCCATCCCTGGGGGGGCTGCGATCGGTGAAACAGTCGCCATTTTCGAAGCCTGCTGGGGGGCTCAGCACAGTGACGGCGACGCGCGGATTCAAATTAGACCTCGCCATCCCCGGGGGGCTGCGATCTGTGAAACTGTCGCCATTTTCAAGGCCTGCTGGGGGGCCCAGCACAGTGAGGGCGACGCGCAGATTCAAATTAGACCTCGCCATCCCTGGGGGGCTGCGATCTGTGGCATTGTCGCCATTTTCGACGCCTGCTGGGGGGCCCAGTACAATGAGGGCGACGCGCAGATTCAAATTAGACCTCGCCACCCCTGGGGGCTGCGATCTGTGAAACAGTCGCCACTTTCGAGGCCTGCTCGGGGGCCCAGCGCAGAGAGCATTCACCGCAAATTCAAATTAGACCTCGCCGTCCCTGGGGGGCTGCGATCTGTGAAACTGTCGCCACTTTCGAGCTCTGCTGGGGGGCCCAGCACAGTGACGCCACACGCAGATTCCAATTAGACCTCGCCATCCCTGGGGGAGCTGCGATCTGTGAAACTGTTGCCACTTTCGAGGGCTGCTGGGGGGCCCAGCACAGTGTCGCCACGCGCGGGCCCAAATCAGATCTCGCCATCCCTGGGGGGCTGCGATCTGATATCCCCGCCTTCGAAGTGGCTGGGGTTGCTCAGGGATTGAAAATTAATCAGCTTTATCTAGTCCTTGTCCTGTAGCCAGTGTCCTGCGAGTGTCCCGAATTCCGTCTGCAGACATATGTAACCCTCGTTCCGTCATCGCCCCCTTTTATAAAGTGTCCTAGACTATTTGCGCCCCGCGTTTGCGCAGGGGTCGGGTACGTCGCCGGGGTATTTTTTTTGTCCGGCGGGCGCTGGCCGAGCGAGCGGGCGCCGACGTGCCGTGCCCAGGACAGGCCACCTGCACCGAATTGAGGGGGGGAGGGGAGGGCCCCCACGACCCCGGCGAGGCGCCTTCGGGTGGGCACCCGGCGCATCCCCAGGCCGCTCCCGCCGGGCGCACGGGGCGCCCACGGAGCGCCCGCGCGCGGGGGGGGCCCACGGGCAGAACTTCGGCGGACCCCCCCGGCGCACGGGGCGCCCCACGGCAGGGCACACGGGCGAGACCTCGGCGGCCCCACGCGGCACGAAGCGCGCCCGCAGGGCGGCGGCGGGCGCCGGGCCACTGGGCGCCACGCAGAACCATGGCTGATCTCTTGGATGCCTAAAACTTGCCGTCGCTCGGACGTCCATTTCCCGTGCACTTTTCGGTTTCGTGCGTGTTTGTTTTGCTCGATGGTCCAGGATGGTCCTCGATGGTTCTCGCCGAGAAAAAATAACACGTCCGAGGGATGCCAAGAAAAAGGAATTCAAGGAAAAAGCTCCTAAGTGCAGGCGCTGTGTTGGGGAAGATGGGAAGGGGAGAAGTACAATGGGCAGGTGGGCGGGGGAAGCGGGAGGATGCAGAGGAGTCCCTGCCTCCGCCTCCTCTCCCTCGTCGTCCGCATCTGCCAGCCATCCCCCTCTTCTCCTCTGACATCCTCCTGCTGCTGCTGCTGCTCCTCCTCCCGTGCTTGCCATCTTCCGTATCGTTGTCCTTGTCCTCGTGAATTCCGCTCGTCCTCCTCATCCTCCTTTGTCCTTTCTCCTTGTTGAGAGCCCCTCACCGTATGACCAGCAGACGTGTCGGTAGGGGAGGGCCTGGCGTTTCGTCTTAAACTTCGTTTCTACTTTGAGCCAGCGCATATTTTTCAAACTGTGGTTCTCGCCTCAGCGCCGCGCAGATTCGGCTGAAACATCTTCCGACCGATACACGGATGGATCGGAGGGGGTTGTTTTCAAGATGTGTCTCTCGCCTAAGCGCCGTGCGCGCAGCTTTCCAACAGTGGCGCGGATGAAGGGAGGTCGTTTTCAAGGTGTGGCTCTCGCCTCAGCGCCGCGCCAACTCGTCTTAAAACACTTCGGCGGAGGGCGATTTCGATACGTGGCTCCCGCCTCAACGCGGCGCAGACTCGTCATACGGGCCCTTGGCACATTTACGGGCGGGGTTGTTTTCCTTTTTGAAGGGGCCCAAGGACACACAAATAAATACACACAAATAAAACGATCCCCCATATGTTCTGGATTTTTGTCTTCCCCCCCACTTCCCATAGTTTCCCATATTATCTGGGGAATCGAGGATTAGTTGTGTCTGTGTGTTTCTTTCCCTCCTGATTTTTTGTTGCCAAAATGGGGCTCTCTCGCCCTAGCGCCACGCACATGCGTCCCAAACGCACTCAACAACTACACATGTGATGCTCGCCATTGCTCGGACGTTCATTCCCTGTGTTTGTTTCGGTTTCGTGCGTGGCTTTTTCGCCCAATGATCAAGGATGCTCCTCGATGGCCCTCGCAGAAAAAATGCACACGTCCGAGCGATGCCAGGGGGGGGGGGGGGGGGGGGGGGGGGGGCGAATCCATTGCAAATCTCCTTCTCGCTGTAGCGCACAGTCGCTCTGAACGCGTCCCGCAGCCGCACGGATTGAGGGCGGCGCCCTCTTCTTGAAAGTGCGGCTCTTCCCTAAGGAGTCGGCGGTGGGCAAACATCCCTCCAGGAAGCCACAGAGACCATGCGTTGCAGACTTCCTAAACACTTGAACGGTCAGAAACCTGCAACTGCACAACAGCTCCGAGGATGGAGCCGTTGCTTTTTTTTCAACTCGGGGCTATCGCTTGAGACTTCCCTCGCGCTTGCGGCAGGGCGTTCAAGACTGGAAGGGCGGCCCTTGTTCGAAGCGGAGCTCTTGCTGGACATGTCCCTGGTCTTTTCAAGATGAAGAAACTAAGCCAGAAACCTAAATGCTTGGCGCCCCGCGCGGATTTCTTGGACCCGCGATGGGCCCCCCCGGCGGCGCCTCCAGCGCCGCGTCTGGCGCGCTCCGCGCGCCAGGGAGAAGGGGGGCCCCGCGCGGAGCCAAGAAATCCGCGCGGGGCGCCAAAAGATTATGCTCATGGCGTTTCTGCCTCTTCGATGGACACTCTCCTGGGTCTGTCTGGCCGGGAACACGGCTGGCATCGGCGGTGGACAGACCTCCCTTTTGCAACTATCCCCTTAAAAAGATCGGCCTGGAACCGAAACCGACGGACCTGGACCCGCAGAAATGACGGCCGCGACGCCCTCTCGCGAACCGAAAACGGCCAATGCGCCGATCGACGTGGCAGGGTAAGAGGTCTCTGTCCCTGGCCATCGCTCGGACGTCCATTCCCTGTGTTTTTGTTCTGCTTTCGTGCGTGGCTTTTTCGCCAAATGATCAAGGATGATTCGCGATGATCCTCGCAGAAAGGAAAAATGCCCACGTCCGAGCGATGCCAAGGTCCACCTCCGACAGCAGCTCCTGCGCACAGCGGGGCCGCCCCCACCCGAGGACGATCTCGGATGATTCTCGAGGATCTTCGCCAGATGACCAAGGATGATTCTCGAGGATCCTCGCCGAAGGAAAAAGGCACACGTCCGAGCGATGCCAAGACCTCCGATGGCAGCTCCTGCGCACGGCGGGGCCCCCCCCCACCCGACCGGCAGGACCACGGGGCCCTCGCCGCTCCAGGCAGGGGAGGGAGCCCTGCCCGCGGGGAAAGAGCGCGGGCCTCTTGCGGGCGCTGCCGTGAGGCCGGGGGCTCGGGGCGCGTCGGCGGGTTGCAGCATCGTGGATGCATCTTCGGTTCACTCCGGTCCTCCTCCCCCTCCTCCTCCCCCTCCTCCCCCTCCTCCTCCTCCTCCTCCTCCTCCTCCTCCTGCTCCACCTCCTCCTCCTCCTCCTCCTCCTCCTCCTCCCCCTCCTCCTCCTCCTCCTCCTCCTGCTCCTCCTCCTCCTCCTGCTCCACCTCCTCATCCTCCTCCTTTTCTCGTTTACTCTGGTCCTCCTGCTGCTCCTCCTCCTCCTCCTCCGCCTGATCTACCTCCTCCCACCGCTGCCGCTCCATCTTCTGCTGATCTCGCCCCCGTCGTGTTGCTCCTCCTCAACCTCCTCGTCATCCTTCTCGTCCTCGATATCCCCCCATTCCCGCTGGTCCTGCTCTTCATCCTCTCCCACTCCTAATCCTGGTGCCGGTGATGCTCCTGCTCCTGATCTTCCTCTAGCGTCTCTTCCTCCTTCTCCTCCTCCGCCTTCTCCTCTTTCGCCACCCAATCAGCCTGCGCCTCCACCTCCACCATCCCCTCCCTCACCCTGGTTCTCGTCTTCAATCCTCCTTTCTCATCTCTGTCGTCGTCGCCATCGAAGCGGTGGAATGGAGGCAGGAGCTCAATTGTTGGATTCCCAGGCGTTCCGTCGTCACCAGGCGCTCACATCGCAGTGGGGTGAGATGATGGGGCCGTCGTCAATATAGGAGGCAAAGGAAACTGAAGAGGGACAGAGAAAAAGAACAAGAACCGTCAGGAGACCACACTCACACATACTTCTCATTGACTGACCCCGCAAAGTAATTTCCGCACCTTCCCTGAATGGCCCGCACGCTTACTGCATGGATGACAGCATACAAAGAAAGGATTTCGGGCGACGGGCGACGGGCGATGTGGACATATGCCACCTTTGCTAAACTAATCCCCATATTATCATCCTGTCCTCCTCTCCCCAACTTCTCTCCTCCTTTTCTCCTCCCGATCCTCGTCCGCCTCCTCCAACTTCTCCTCCCTTGTCCTTCTCCTTCGTCGCTGCAGAAACTCGTTCACAATTAATTTGCAACGCTACCCCCCACACGCGACCCCTTGGCGGCGCGATTGGCCGCGCGCGCCGCGAAGGGCAAACTCAATCTGCCGGGAGAGAACACAAGCGACCTCCTGGCGTGGTATGTGACTGTCGTATCGTCATTGTCCTGTCATGGGTCTGTCGCTGTCGTCTTGCCAGTGCTCTGTTATAGGCCGTAGCTTTCGTGTATCGATGTCCTGTCCTGTGATGTTATGGCATGTAGGGCGGGATTCATGGGGACCCTCGAGGGGGTCTCGGAGCCAGGCAGCCAGGGCATGCAGGGCGGGCGGGCGGGTAGAGCCAACAAACAACCAGCGCAAACTGTTTTCCGATCTAGCCCCCCACAAAAACAACTCCCAACCGATGCGTCACTCGTTCGGCATGGCCTGGCGTTCGTTGTTTTCTATGTTCTGGATCTGGCCCTATTCTTGAAGTTCCGTCATCGGTGCTCTCTCCCATCTCCCGCCACCTCCTCCTCCGCTTACTTACTTCCTTCTCCTGTAGCTGAACTCCCCCCTGCCTCCTCCTCCTCCTCCGCCTCCCCGTCGCCATCGATTATCGAAAGAACCCCGCCTGGGCACGAACAAGCAGGGCAATATACAGGCACGTGGACGGGCACGCTCGCAGAAACTCGTCGGGGGCGACAGGCGACGCAGAGGACCAGAGAGAGGGGGGGAGAGCTGGAGACGGAGGAAGGCAAAGAGGAGGAGGAGGAGGAGGGGAAATTACCGAGTGAGAAGGGTGATATTGTGGGATGCAAGAAGGGTCAGCATGAATGCATCGAATGAGCAGAAGTACCAACACGGGAACGATACATGCGATCAGGGTGAGAGGCCGAACGGTCTTGCACCTTTCCGGGGGCTTGACTGAAAAAGAGGCCCACAATACGGATTATCCTTGTCCTCTGAATGTTTCTGGTGCTCTTCGTCTTCGTCGTTCAACCCGCGGCCTGCACGCGACCCACCCGGGACCCATTCGCGCATCCCGCGCCCCGCCCGCCTTGCGACCTGCTCAGCGACCCGCCCGCGACCCACACAGCGACCCCGCCACGAACCACCCACGGATCACCACGCTACCCACCCACATCCGCGACCTGCCCCGCGACCCACCCGCGGCCCACCCGCACCGCTCGGACAACAGAGTCGACGCCTGCGGCGAGCTCGCTGTCAAAGGTAGGATGAACCAATGCGCCCGACGCCTTTGTTATCGTGCTCGTTCCTTTGCCCCCGCGCCTCACAAGCTGACGGCGACCTCCCAGTCCTCATCACTCGTGTGTCCGCGACTGTGGGGGTGATGGGCATCGTGATTCAAAAAACAAAGAGGGCCATAAAACGAATCATGGCGACATTAAGGACAAGATGACAAAGAAACCGCCTGGTGGAAAGCGGCCCCGCCCGCCATTCACAACATGTCCGCGTGTTCTTCCCGTTTTTCATGGACTTGTACCAGCGCTGCTGATGGGCGTCGATGAGGCGCTTGCTGTGGAAGTGCCGCCACATCTTCTCAAGATTCTTGAAGCTCGACTGCCTGCAGCACCATCACATCCCGCGCTCTCTCTCTCTCTCTCGCTGTCCCTTCTGCACCGCCCAGAAAGGTCGAATCCCGATTGGCCCCGTCGCCACGAAAAGCACGGAGGATTCAATAAGACGGCGGCACAAGAAACGAAATGATGATGAACTGGCCACAGAGGGGCTTGAAACGGAAATCATTCAGATAGCTAGGGAGAACGAGAGAGAAAGAGAGAGAGAGAGAGATACCATGGAGGTATTGGCCCATCTCTAACCCACGTGGGTGCATGATTGCGCTCCCATAGAGATATGGCGAACGCGACTGGAATCTCTCTCTCTCTCTCTGTGACATCCGCTGCGAGTGCACTTGATGATCCATGGCGTGAGGACGCGCCGCTCTGCGCCGCGGCCGCGTCTCTGATTGACTCCCCACGGGCGTCGCGGGAGAAGTCGCACGGATGGCATTTCTGGATGCGGCCACCCTGGTCACGTGCTCAAAGACGCTCGGCAACAATGCAAATGCGCCGGGTCGAACTATAGGTGCTAGCTGGGATGCCCAATGGCAGCACATCCATTGCACGCAGCTGAGAGCACATCCCTCGGCTTTTCGTCAGCCTTGCACCTCTGTATGGTTTGTGCAGTGCCTTCCTTCTCCTCCTCCTCCTCCTCCTCCTCCTCCGCCTCCTCCTACATCCTTTTGCACCAAAGCATTCCTCTAAATCGAGTCGACGCTCCTGTTTGAAGGGCCCAGGGCTCAGCCAGAACTATGGAAGCGCAGATTGCCATGAGGGCACGCGGCCTTGAAGTGCAGAGCAGCTGTGCCAGATCCTCCTCCCCTCCATCCTTCTACCTGCTACCCCCGCAGCTCCTTCATTCCACCTCCTAGTTACCCAACTCCCATTCTCGAACTCCTCCTCTCTCCCTCTCTCCCTCCACCTCCAACTCCTCCTGCCGCCTCTCCCCTCCTCCCGATCTAACTCCGCCATTCTCCATTTCCCTCGGTTCCTCACTATCCTCACTATCCTCCCTCCTCCTCCTCCTCCTCCTCGTTCCCCTCGGTCCGCCCCCCTCACCCCTTCTCCTCCTCCTCCTCCCTCCCCTCCATCCTTCCCTCACGCTTCCTCCTCCCGCTTCCTCCTCCTCCACCTCCTCCTCCTCCTCCCCCTCCTCCTCCTCCTCCTCCTCCTCCTCCTCCTCTTCCTCCTCCCGCCTCCTCATCCTCATCGCCCCCGCCCGCTTCCCCCTCGCCTCTGCGCCGTCCCTCTCCCCCACCCGTGCCCCCCCCTCCTCCCTCCCCCTCGGGAGGGAAGGGGGGAAGGGCCGGGGCGCCGCAGCCTGACGTCCAGGCCCCAGACGACGTGCTGCGCGTGCCTCATGCGGGCCCCCGCCGGGGCGTGGGCCGAGCACACGAAGGAGGCCATGCGGCCCGAGAGGCCCTCCACGGTGGTCGCCTCGCGCGCCTGCGACGCGGGGGCGAGGACGAGGAAGAGTTGGAGGAGGAGGAGGAGGGAGGAAGAGGCGGAGGAAGAGGAGGAAGAGGAGGAGGAGGACGACGAGGAGGAGGACGAGGGGGAGGAGGAAGAGGAGGAGGAGGACGAGGAGGAGGACGAGGAGGAGGAAGTCCTCCCCCATCACACCCCAAGAGACAACATACCAGCCTCCTCCTTCATGCCTCATCCCTCCCTCATCGCTCCTCCCCTCCTGCTCCTCCTCCTCCTCCTCCTCCTCCTCCTCCTCCTCCTCCTCCTGTTCGCTGCATCCCTGCAGCCTCATCCTTATGGATATTGGCCACGGCTCGTGGCCCGTGGTCTCCCGCAGGGTCTCCTGTGCAGTCTCCCGCATGGTCTCCGGCATGGTCTCTCCCGCGTGGCCTCCCGTAGGATCTCCAGCACGGTCTCCCGCAAGGCTCGCCGCCTGCATCTATCTGGTGCGCTGGCCCCGACTGTTCCACTGTTTGGACGCCCGAGATGGGTACGGAAAAAATGTGTACAATGCCCAACAACAAATGTTGTCCCAAACCATCAGCGGCCGCTGTTGGGCAGGCGGCCTTCTGTCTCGAATGGACACAGGCCGCGGCGGCGTGGACAGCGACTCCTGTTCAAAATGAACAGGAACTGCTGTTGGGCATTGTACCCATTCTTTTCGTATCCATTTCGGGCGTCCAGACATTGTGCCGTTTGGGGTCTTCTGCCGCCTGGGTGAGATGTGTGTTGGCGGTTGCTCCTCCCGTCTTGCGGCCTCCAGGAGCGTCTGGGAGCCTCCTGGCCGCATCGGCTGGACCTCCCCGGATGTTCTGGTCAACTTTCCAAGTCCGCGGGCGCCGAGTGGTCCAAGACAGTCATGCGCCGGTAAGCAAGCAGTGTGGTGCACCAGAAACGAATTGAGGCACGAAAGCGAAGAGTCGGCGGTGGACAAACCTCCCTTTAGTAAACCAGCCTTTAATGAAAACGGCCTAAGACCGAAACCGATTGACCTGGATCCGCAAAAATGACGGCCGCGACGCCCTCTCGCGAACCAAAAACGGCCAATTCGCTAATCAACGTGTCAGGGTAGCAGGTCTATCAACTTCCGAGGCACGAAAGCGAAAAGGAAAAGCGCGCGAGAAGAGAAGGCCGGCGCCCGCTCAGGCCATGCAAGTCGGCGCGGGGATGCCGAGGGAGAGCATGCGGGCTGCGCGCAAGCAGCAGAGGCCGGGGCCAGCTCGAAGTGGAAGACCTAACCCCTACGGATCTTTTGTTTTGGTTTAGGTCGGGCCTGCCCCCCCTAGGGGATTTTGAGCGAGAAATCTAAAATGCGCAAAACATATCATATATAAAAACAGTAGTCAAAAGATCGTCCCCATACTATGCTGTGACTATTTGTGATGTAGAGTGGCACGCCCGACTTAACCCTAAGGGTCTTTTGTTTTGGTCCCCCCCTTTCACCCGGCGGTGAATAGGAGAACACGACTGGTCCTAAAACCACCTCCTCCTCCTTCTCCTCCTCCTCCCCCTCCTCCTTCTCATCGTCGTTGTTGCGCGGCGGGTGCTGCGGAAAACAATAACTAGTTCCCCCCTATTGGTGGGACCCCAATCCTCCAACAAGGCCGCCGAAGAAGTAATTAGTTACCCCTTGTTAGGGGGGGGTCTAAAGACCCTTCGTGGTTATCCTGGCCAACGCGCACCGCAGGAGGAGACGTCTTTGCCTTCGCGACGCGGGGGGGGGGGGAGATACACTTGCTGCCCGTCTGGGCCCTCGGGCCGACGGGGCGGGCGGCCAACCCGAGGCCCTCTCGCCCCCCCCACCGTTGTCGATGCCTGCCCCTTCCCCCCCCCAAAAAAAAACGAAGAAAAAAACCGAAGCTAGGACGAGGATGGCATCGGGTGAGGATGCGTCGAGAACCTCTGAGATCCGGCGGCTCTGCAGGGTGCTTCGGGCGCCGCGGCCTCTCTCTCGCAGGGCTCCGGAAAAGCGCTCTGGAACGGCAGCGGATGCGTCCTCGGCCTGGCTCCGTCCGAGCCCTCTCCCCCGCAGGGCCTGGGCCCCGCGGCTCGGGCTCGGGAGCGGGGGAGGCGGGAGGCGGGGGAGGGCTTGCTCAACAACAAGTGGAGGCGGGCATTGCGATAGCGTGCCCCTGATGCAGGGGGGGCGCATGGTAGAGGGGCCCAGGGACACACCCATAGAGAAACACACAAGTCCCAGGAAGCCACCCACATGTTCCTCGACTTTCGGGGTCTTCATCTTCCCCCCCTCTGCCCATATCTTCCCATATGTTCATAGGGATCGACGATCCATTGTGTCTGTGTGTACATGTCTGTGTGTGTGTGTGCGTCTGCGTGTGTGTGTGTGTGTGTGCGTGTGTGCGTGTGTGTGTGTGTGTGTGTGTGTGTGTGTGTGTGTGTGTGTGTGTGTGTGTGTGTGTGTGTGTGTGTGCGTGTGTGTGTGTGTGTGTGTGTGTGTGTGTGTGTGTGTGTGTTTCAGTGTGCGTGTCTGTGTAAATGTGTGTTGTTTCCCTCCAGGATAGGGGGAGATGCGCGCTGCCTCTGGCCTCGGCGCCTCTGTCGGCGTCCCCCTCCTCCTGCTGCCCCTGCTCCTCTTCCGCCTCCCTGACGTCGCTCGGTCGTGCTGCCCCGTGCACTGTCGGTTTCGTGCGTGGTGTTTCGCTCGCTGGTCCAGGGTGCTCCTCGATTGTCCTCGCCGAGAGAAAAACAAGAAGCACACGTCCGAATGATGCCAAGCCTCCGTGCCGACGCTGCGCCCCCCCCCCCCCCCCCGTCTGAGGGCCGCGAGATCCAGAGCTACACGAGACGACTCCAACGAGATCCGCCTGGCAGGAATCCGAGCTCTCCTCCTCCTCCTCCTCCTCCTCCTCCTCCTCGTCCTCCTTTTCCTCCTCCTCCTGGCGCACACTCAACGCCTCCAAGTCCGCAAATGACGCGGAGGGACGGCGCGCGCGTGACACTACTCTGCACCCTGCCCTTGGCCCAACTCGTCTGGCCAGGTCTTCAGACCTGGGGGGAGGCGGCCATCCCTGAGTTTGGACAGCACCTCCTTGCCCTCGTCTGTTGGGCGGTGGCAGGTGCCTAGCAACCCTGCTCTGATCTTCGCACCGCTGTAAGCCCCACACTTGCGACACCACCAGAGTTCACGAGTAAAGGACAACGCATGGCTCTGATGGATCTGGTGCGGCCGACCTGGGCATTGCCTCCCCCTCCCCCTCCCCCTCCCCCTCGTCGTCCTCCTCCTCCTTCTCCTCCACCTCCTTCTCCTCCTCCTTCTCCTCCTCCTCCTTCTCCTCCTCCTTCTCCTTCTCCTCGGACGCAAGTCCCTCGTTAATGCCCCACCCTCCTCCTCCTCCCCCTCGGACGCAAGTCCCTTGGTAATGCCCCACCCATGTAGCGGAAGGCCACTCCGCCACGCGAGCCTTGGCACACATCTCGCCGTAAACGGCGGTCAAAGGGAATGGAAGCCGCGCGTCGGAGAACTCCGAGAGGACCTTGCGGCCGCGGCGCGGGAGGACGTGCAGGGGAAAAAGGGGGAAGGGGGGGCCTTCCTCCTCCTCCTCCTCCTCCTCCTTCTCCTCCTCCTCCTCCTCCTCCTCCTCCTCCTCCTCCTCCTCCCTCCTCCTCCTCCTCCTCCACAATCCCACCAGCCCGTTGGGCGTGAGTGGTTTAGCGAGCTTTCTCTGTTCTCAACCCCCCAACCCCCCTTCTTCCCCTTCGGGGAGGGGTTTACCCCTCCCCCATACCCCCTCCCCCTGGACCTGGAGAGCGCAGCCCGCGGGTCGTCAGGGTGGTCTTTTTCGACGCCTGGGAGGGCCAACAAACGACGACCCTCACGAGGATTCTGGCTCCGACGGGGGGACCCTCTTGTAGTAGCCCCCTCTTCTGTTAAGCCAAAATCCTTGCTTTTACGATGGTGTTGGCCCCATTTTGGCCTCCCGAGGGGGCCGCGCTCATCTTCCTTCATAGCAAAATCGTTGATGTTACTAGGGTTTTGGGCTCATGTTGTCCTTTTCAGGGGGCAGCGCTTCTTTGCGCTTCTGAGGATGTCGCAAGAGGCGCCAAGATGGCCCCAAGAGGCCCCCAGGAGCCTTCCAAGAGGCCTCCAAGAGGCCCCCAAGAGGCCCCCAAGAGGCCCCAAGAGGCCCCCAAGAGACCCCCCAGAGGCCCTCAAGAGGCCCCCAGAGGCCCCAGGAGGCCCCGAAGAGGCCCCCAAGAGGCCCCAAAGAGGCCCCCAAGAGGCCCCAAGAGGCTCCAAGAGGCCGCCAAGAGGCCCCACGAGGAGCCCGAACGACTCACACCAGGTCGAGGGGCCCGAACGACTCATACCACGAAGAACCCGAACGTCTCACGCCAGAAGGAGGACCCCGAACGACTCACACCACGACGCGCGCCTCGAACGACTCACACCACGAGGAGCCCGAACGAGTCACACCAGTACTACTACTACTACTACTACTACTACTACTACTACTACTACTACTACTACTACTACTACTACTACTACTACTACTACTACTACTACTACTACTACTACTACTACTACTACTACTACTACTACTACTACTACTACTACTACTACTACTACTACTACTGCTACTACCACTACCAGTACTACAACTGATCCTACTGGTACTACTTCTACTACTACGACTAGGAGCCGAAGAGGAGGAAGAGGAGGAGGGAGAGAAGGAAATGGGAGGCAAGACAGAAGGCGGTCGTTCACCAGTCCTACACGTAACCGACTCTGTCGACTCACACGACGGCGACGTCCTGGACCAGAATGCATGTGGTGTGCGTCGTTGGGGCCCCTCGCCCTGGTGTGAGTCGTTCGGGCTCTTCCTTGTGTGAGTCGTTCGGGCCCCTCGCCGAACGACTCACACAAGGAAGGAGGGGCCCGAACGACTCTGTCCAGGAGGGGGGACCCGAACGACTCACACCACGAAGAGCCCACGACCACCTTGCCTCCCACCGCTTTCTCTCCCTCCTCTTCCGCGTCGTCCTTCTCCCGCTGCCCCCACAAGGAGGATGTACAAGGAGGCGGGAAGAAGGAGGAACAGGGGAGATATGCGGGGCCAAGCGGACACACGCCTGAAAAACACCACTGTCGGCACGCTTCGCAAGAGTTGCTGTTGTGAGATGGGCTGGTGGGGATACGCGAAGCGTAAAGAATTACTCAATATGAATATTACTCCTCCTCTTCCCATGATGACGGTTTGAAAGTATTGGCCCCCCCCCGCCCGCGTACTGTTTTTTGTACACCGGACTCCCCGGAATTGGGTTTTCGCTTACATCTTTTTCCAAAATGCTGCTCTCGCTGAGGCGCCGGCCTCATTTTCGGGCCCCGCTCGTTCCGAATCGTGCTCCCGCTGCAGCGCTGGCCTCATTTCCGTGCTTCCGCTCGTTCCGAATCGTGCTCCCGCTGCAGCGCTGGCCTCATTTCCGCGCTTCCGCTCGTTCCGACTCGTGCTCCCGCAGCAGCGCTGGCGTCATTTCTCGTGCCATGCCACGGCATGCAATGCAATGCTAGGTTGATACTACGCTTTGCGATGCTCTTCTACGCCATGCCATGCCGTGCTCTAGAATACATCGCGTACCCTTTCGGGATCATTGCCGTGCTCGGCATCCGACTGTGCGAGTAGAGAGGGGATCTGGGCCATAGTAAGGGATGGGAGGGAGGGGTAGGATGTCAGATATGACGCGAGCGCACCTAGCTTGTCCTCCTCCTCCTCCTCCTCCTCCTCCTCCTCCTCGTCCTCCTCCCCCTCTTCTCTCCTCCTCCTCCTCCTCCGCCCTCCTCCTCCGCCCTCCTCCTCCTCCTCCTACTCCTCCTCCTCTTCCCTCCTCCTCTTCCTCCTCCTCCTCCTCAGCATATTCCGAGTTTCTTAAGAAGCGCATGAAAATTGGCTGAGAGTGGGGCGCATGAGCAGGAGCAAGAGGCACAGTGCGATGTTGAAGAAAAGAAACCTCTCACGGAGCCCAAACGGCAACAGACGAGTGAATCCTAAGAAGTCGATCGGGACCGAGCCGCGGGGACGCGAGGAGAAGAGGCTGAAGAACTGGATGAACCATGTGCGCTAATGACGATGTGTATGACCATGCGGAACTGGGTGCTGCGAACGCCCTGGTGTATTAGCGGACAGAAGCTGGGCCCAATAAAAACCACAGTAACATTAGGGAGCGAGCGCCGGGAGGAGGGCAACTCAAAGGCAAGCAAACATAGAAGGACCAGTAGCAGTAGTAGCAGCAGCTGCTCTGTGGCTGATGTGTCAGAATGTACATCAAACTCCTCTTCTTTGTCCTCATCGCTCCTTCACCATGATCCTCCTCCAACCAGCTCCCTCCTGCCTCATCCATCCCTCATCGCTCCTCCATTGTCCTCCTCTCCCTCCTCGCTCCATCCCCGACTCCAGTTCCGTATGGATTACTGGCCTCGAGAAGGCAGAACGTCAGCATGGCATCCATCGTTTTCTGGTCTGCGATGCGGGTTGGCAGCTGCCTCCGGCCATTCGCCAAGGGGTCGGGAAGGCACACAAGGTTCCAGCAGATGATGTGGGGGGGAGTCAAGGGGGAGGGGAGAGGCAAAAGGGGCAGAGGAGGGAAAGGTGGACAGAGGAAGGCGATGCGGAGGAGCGACCCAACGCAGCTGCATGACCCGTGCTCCTCGAGCTCGGCCGCAACGGGGGAAGTTGGAAGGGGGACGAGGGGGACGTCGGAGGCAAGGGGGCGAGAACGAGGCTGAGGCGCGGGGGGGGGGGGGGGGGGGGGGGGGGGGCACGCAGGCAGGCGGGCGCGAGGCGGCAGCGAGAAAGCGCAGAAGCCCAGCGGCAAGGCAGAGCGCGGCGGCGAGGTTGGACATACAGCAGCGGCGGGCCGAAGGGCGTGCGCGAGCGGTGGCTCCCCCCTAGACTGCAGGTGGGCCGGCGTCGGGGCGAAAGGGCCCCGGTCCGCAGGGGTTCCTCGTCGTCCTCCTCCTCTTCCTCCGCCTCCTCCTCCTCCTCCTCCTGCTCCTACTCTTCCTCCTCCTCCCCCCCAGGGGGAAAGCTTCAGGGGAAGAGGGGAAGTGGAGGGCGACGAGGGAGACGGCAGTATCGGCTCGGCTGGCCACTATGATTTCGCGGCTGGTGGAACGGCGCTACAAGCACGCGAGTGTCAAAAGGCGTGGTTGGCGCATTGTGTTGCCAGCGCACCTGGTCTGCAGACTCCTGCAGGCAGGCCACCCCTGTAGCGCGTCCACCCAAAGCCAAACCTTCCCATTCTACCCTGGGTCCGGCTGGAGAGTCAGGTCTGTAGAACGCCCCAAACGGACGTCAAGCTGAAGCTGAGCACCACACCCGGCGTCAAGCCAAAACTTTGGACATAACCGACTGGCTGGATGTTGCACATCTTCGTCGACTTAACCGGCGAGGCGTGTGACCACCAGAGGAAGGCGCTCTCTGACCCTCGGCCCTACTCAATTTCAACCTCCTGCTCGTCCTCACCCATCCTGTCCTGTCATTGGGGGAGAGGGTGCCGAAACGCGTCCAGAGTCCAGCAAGGCATGAGGGTCCAAACCCGACTTGTCTGGCCGATGCTCTGGGGGGGCCTGTGCTCAGGGGAGGCTGCAGCACCGCTCAACGATGTGCTATTTAACCGAACCTGCAGGGTGTGCCGTATCCGAAATCCGTGCTTCGGTGCGGATCGTCTGCGCGCCTCGTCTCCGTCGTCGTCGTCGTCGTCGTCGTCGTCGTCGTCGTCCTGGTCGTGGTGCGTGTTGCTCTGCTCGGGACTTCTTTCCCTTATGCAGTGTCTACCACTATCTCTCTTGTCATCCTCATCCCTCATTCCCTGGAAGTCCAGACCCTTCCCCAGGACTGGCTTTTCGTCCTGAGTCGTTTGTTGACGGTCCCGAGGCCCGGCGAGGGCCTCCCAAGTCCGACAACGGCCAAAAACCCGCCGTCCTGATTTCGTTCACGACACGATCATGTATGGGCTCCTGCCATCCTCATCCCTCGCTTTATGTTGCTCCCATCGTACTGAGGGACCACATCCCGCAAAATAATTTCGGGCACCCGGAGAAGTGTCGAAAGAGTCTCGAAACAGTGTCGGACGAGTGTCTCCCAGGGACCGACACGCGAACACCCTCGAGTTTAGGTACCTTTTTCTGGCGCCCGAAATTCTTTCTGGTGGTCAAGGCAAAAATAGGTTGTCGGCGGTGGACAAACCTCCCTTTAGCAAACCTTCCTTTAGTGAAAACGGCCTGGGACCGACACCGACGGACCTGGACCCGCAACAATGACGGCCGCGACGCCCTCTCGCGAACCAAAAACGGCCAATTCCTTAATCGACGTGTCAGGGTAGGATTGGATGCTCGTTCTGGGGACCTTCCTGGAGCTCCACTCGTGCGTCGAAGCTGCGTCGAACGTCAGTCGATTTGGGTCGAACCTGAGTCGAACCTGAGTCGAACCTGAGTCGAACCTGAGTCGAACTTGAGTCGAACTTGAGTCGAACTGGGGTCGAACAGATCCGTTAGGTGGGCCCCAGGAAGGTCCCCGAAACGAGCATCGAAGTAGGAGGTCTATCCACCTCCGAGGCTGGAACATCACCACCCTCCCAGCCCTGCCCTGCCCCTTCCGGCAACCGCTCCCGCAGGGCATGCCTGGACCAGGCGCGCCAGCACCGGCACGCCCGCCCGGCACGGACCACGGCCGGCACGTGGAGCCACTGGAAGGCCTCCCGGAGGGCTCGGCGCTGCTGCAGTCATCTCGGGAGGCAGCTGCTGGGAGGAGGAGGAGGAGGAGGAGGAGGAGGAGGAGGAGGAGGAGGAGGAGGCGGAGGAGGAGGAGGAGGAGGAAGAGGAAGAGGAAGAGGAAGAGGAAGAAGAAGAAGAAGCAGAAGCAGACGAGGAGGAGGAGGAGGAGGAGGAGGAGAGGAGAAGGAGAGCAGGGGGAGGATGAAGCCCCGCTGGGGGGCTACTACGCAAGATGAGGCCGCGGATTCACCGGGATGAAGCCGGATCAAGCAGGATTGAGCCGGACTTAGCGGGATGAAGCCGGAGTGAGCCAGATTTCGGACCAGGGGAGAGTGAGAATTTGACCTCCCA